ACAAATTCTATTAATATGGTCCTTATTTATTTGACTTAGACCATCCTTGGCAAAGGTTGAATAGTAAATGAGGAGGCAATGCTGTATAAACCAAATATGCTCTGAAAACAAGCCAAAAAATACAGACTAAATAAGCTAAAAATTCTTTGCTCTTAAAGCTATTATAGGATAATCATGTTTGTCGATTGCAAAAGATTTATTAAAAGTCATCACAACTCATTGCATCATTGAATTCAAAAGTCTAAAAAATATGCATGCATATTATTATGATATATTTATTTTAAAAACAATCTGAAAGACTATCAATACAAATTGTGTTTTAAATGGTATCGGTCATAAGTGGCATGTACATTGCTTCGAATATCGAAGTATAAATGTGAAATATCATTAGGCAGACAGTTGCGAAGCAGTTCTTACTCCTTTTATACTGAGATTTAATGAATAATTAGAGCTGAATTCATAGAAACTAGATATCAAAACTGTTAGATCCGTTATATGCCAGTTTTATGTTATCGCACTATAGAAAGCTGAGAAAGTCGTATATTTCTCTGGTAGCTACATTATACGTAAGTTCCGACTATCTTATTTCTCCAAATTAGATTTAATTTACTTAACTTTGATAAACTGAAATCCACATTTTGATTTAATGGAAAAATACTTTGATAGAATCCTTATACTATAATATAGAGAAGATACAAAATAGCATCAAATTCAGAAAATCTGAAAGCAAGCCTTCTTATACCAACTAGTACTCAAGTATTCGGGCATATATCATCATCGTTTGTTATATAGCAATGCATAGATTTTTTTATTTTAGCCCCTAGTGCTGTATCTCTTTCTCGTAAATCAACTTCAAATTTACACGATTCCATGTTCTAATTTCCTTCAATTTCGCCTGAGAATGCTTTACTACAGGTGGATTTAGTGAAGAGTAATCAACTTCACCACCGGTTCTAGGTGCCATTTAAGGGTTTCTGATTTTCATTCAGCTCCCCTTCTTCCATTGGTCAATTGGTTGCTGCTCCACATTAAAATTCTTATCTGGCTGCCTGAGAGCATTCAATTATCGTCCCCACTAACTTCATATTCGATAATTTAGAGTCGGTGATGCCCATGCCTTAGCATCTTTTTCTCTCTAGGCTTTAGACTCATCATCCAGTTATCCTTTTCCTCATCTCTACTCCTATTATCTCGTTTTTTGGGGTCTTCGGAACCACTGGTATGAAAATGTATCGCTTCCTCCTTCCCTCTCTTGAATCCCATAAGGCACTCTTCTTTTGTCTCTAATTTTGACAATCCCATCTAAGCCTTGGGCACCAGTCAGTTGTTAATGTGTACGTTGGTTGGTAGCCCCTATCTTTGGCAGGACATATAATCAGTTACGTCCCATTAAAGCATACACCCGAAAAAATGCACAAAAGCACACTGGAGACCTATATCTGTCACATGACCGATAAAAGCTCAGCAAGGATTCACCGGGGTCGCAGGGCCCGGAATCTCTTCCTTATGCACTTTCATATGAAATCAAAGTTTCTGCAAAAATATGATTATAGAGCCAATTCTTTAAAAATTGTTACCTGAAGTTAATTTAGAGGATATAAGTTAAGAAGATGTCTGCTAACTGAGTGCAACCCTCTCTAAATGATTGACTTTCTGGCTAATTAAAAATAACAGATAAGAATAGGGCTGAGAAAAATACGTGTATGAAACATATTAAAATTAATTACCTTATTGGCACTATCGGCATTCCTCAATGAGGTTGCTTGTTTTATGAGTAAATTCTGGGCCGTAAGATTTCCCTCATTCGAGAAGTTAATATCGACGGCTGGGAAGGTGCCAACCTGGAAGCCAGAGGCTATCGATTCTTTAGAGCAAGAAATAAATGAAGAACATGATCGCTTTTCTGGGAGAACCTGCTCACTAAAGTGTTTTGTTGAGTAGTGCTGATGATCCCGTTCCATTAAAGGCGTGGAGTTACTAGTGTAGACATGAGTCAGCCCCTCGGAGTGATTGCAATCAATATGAGGCCTAGGAGTAAAATGGCTATAATGGGAGGAAGAATGATAATAATGCTGAGAAGAAGCAGGATGAGGCAGAGAGTGACTGTAATGTGGAGAATGATAAGCTGAGAGAGAATGGTGGGATAGTGGTGGTGACGATGTGGGTTTAAAAAATGTGCAGGCCTGACGGGGCGAGACTAAGTGCTCCAGATTATGCGATTTTTCCTGCTTTTTCACGTTGAAAGGTACCCAATTTTGCTGGTGGCATGTCTGGCAAAGGCAAATATTATTAGCTGGCAGGACATTTGAACGAAAGACAGGGTTAGAATGGCTCATGTGGTAAGCACATTGACAATCAATACAAAGTAGAGATCGGCTTTGCGCCTGTTTGCATGGATTTTCATTCTGATGCCAAGTATGGGAAGATGGTGGGAAATTAAAGTTAGTCAAGCAGGGGACTGAGGGCAGATTAGGCATATGAATCTGATTGGGGTATAATGGACAGGCGTGGCAACAAGATGAGTTGTACAAGTTATCTGAAGGAGTGGATACATGTCTGGAAAACTGGGAGCCTTTGGGAAATTCTGCAAGTGAAAGGTTGGTGAGGACGCCATTTTGGGATTCAAAGGCGGTTGCAACTGAACTGTTGGGGTTGATAATGGTGGGCTTCATCTGTGTTAGGAAGGCCAGTTGACGATGCATAGCCGAAATTTCGTTGGTTAAGCGATTCAGTAAAGTACAAACTCGATTAATGTAGTTTAGTTTCGGTTTATTGCTGCGAAAGAGTGAGATGTTTGGGATTTTTCTGGTACTATAGGTCTCCTCTTTTACTTGTACATCTGATTTTTTTCCGCTTTCCTCCCCATTTATTTCATTTATGTTATGGAACAGTCTATGGAAAAGATCAGACGTAGATGTATTTAATGCTCCAAACGGGAGTTCTTCGTTTCCATAAAAAATTCTGCAATTCGTTGGAGAAAAGAGACAATCATTGGTTCTGGGACGAAGTTTTAAATTTCCACAGAATTCTCGATGTTGACATCTCTGATTTCATAGGTAGTATGCGTGGGTGGTAAAATATATAATAAGAGCCTATTAATTATTGACCACATAAGTGAGTTGCATACAGGTTTTACGGTATAAAATAAAGCGTCAAAAGGAATATAAAGATGGTTAAGCATTTGGTTTGGTCGCCGCCTCCTTAGGCAGTAAAGAGTTGGTATGAAGAACAAGATAGTGGGACCTTTAGCATGGTCGCGGTCTCCTTACATTGTACAGAAGTTGTTTGACCTTGTTTTCGCAACTTGGTCGTGCTGCCAGGAGGACCTAGAGGAACTCACCTTATCCAGAGTACATAATGCTCATGCTGATGATAATTTCTCGATTCGAATCGTGAACTTGGTACATTCTCAGACTTTTGCCGGCATTGTAATCGGTATATTCAGTGAGTCATACCAGATTCAGCGTTAAGCTATAACTCGTCAAAGAGACAGGTGAAGTCAAACCATCGCCTTCAGCTGAACTTTCATGTTATCACCCATGTTTCTATCATGGCCCCAATATCTATACCATACCTTATTATCTCACTCTTGCCCTATCACAACTTCTGAGTTGTTAATATTCCATTACTCTTTTTACCGAGTCTAGCGTGGCGTCATCACACCTGTTGCTTACCTAGTCCCCTTCCCTTTCTTTTTGCTGATCAAACTTTGGCCTCCTATCCGGATCTCCCTCATGGACCCGTAGATCCGTTTCGTATTTTTCTAGTAAACTGATTTAGCTTGATCCCAGTTGAAGTATACTTCACTTCAGCCCCTATTTCTCAAACCTTCAGTAATACGTGCACTGTCCCCTCGCCAAGCGTAACGCGCCTAGGCTCTGATTCCAATGCTTACAGATTTAAAACGTTGTCATCACTGGTCATCTTCTTAATTCTACCCATGTACTCTGAGCAAACTGTGAACGTCTATCTCCGGTCGCCTGCTGCATCAAGTGAATTTCTAATCAATTAGGCTATAATTTTGAATTTCTGTGCTGGTTGTGATAATCGATCTGCATAGTAATGTGACCACCAGGCCTCTAAAATTGTAGTTGTTTCTTCGAGCAGCCAACGCTTGCTGAAAAAGTCTTCTGATGATTTTCGAAAGTTCCTTATCCACTTCTACCTTCCTTCTTCCGCTTCTATCTTTTCAACTGGTTAGCGATAGGTCCTTGATCCAAGCGTCTCCTTTTTGCTGGTATTGACATATCCGTGTTTTCTCAGAGTTTGCCTAAGCAATAGGAAAATCTTTGGCTAATTCTGCCCTCTTCCAATCTCCTATTCATTAATTATTTTGCAAAAGGATGTCAATGACCTCTATAATCTTCCGTTTCCTTGTGTTGTCACCGTAAAAGGCCCTTCCTTATGCTGCCTTCCAGTTGATCTCGTGTCCAGTTCGTACGATGTGTTCCGATATTTCTGATCTTTCGATATCCATTTTCCTGTAGGGATTTGATGGTCCTGGATTCGTATACCCATTTTTCTACCTGTTTTGCCAATATATATTATATTCGCAGATGCTGCATGCTATGCATTAAGCTCCCGAGCAACTTGATTTGTCCACCTTCTCATGATGCGTGAATAGACTTATAAAGTTTGTTGTTTTTTCCTCCGTGGTCACCAGAATATTGCATTTTCTTCATGTTAGCCATAGTTTTTGAGTTTGTTCGCATGAAGGAAGGCATATCCACATTTGTGTTTCTTTCTCTATCCTTACTATTCATTTATAATCCTAGTCTTGCAATCGACTTTTCACGTATGTCTCTTCGTATTACTTCTATCGAGTATCGATTTCTGAGGACTATCCTAATCATTTTGTCCAATTCTTTATTCCAGAATTCCATGTCCGTTGATCGTAAGCTTCTAATTATCATGCTCCTCATCATTCTTATCTTTAGCCTGTAGTTGTGATGGGACAGGAAAATGAGTGTTATTCCAACACATGACTTCTTTGGGAACAATTTCCTCTTGGGTGTACCATTCAAGTGAATGGCTTCAACATCCAGGAGAGGTAACCGCTCCTCTTGCTCGACCTCTATGGTAAATTTGAGTCTTTCATCTCTATAGTTTATAAAATTCAGGAAATCTTCCAGTTTTTTCTTCCATGTGACTAGAGTGCGAAGTAGTCATCTAGGTACTGCATAAGCACTCTTGGTTGCTTCTATGACCTCTTAAAGTTCTCTTCAAATTTATTCGTGTAAACGTTTGCCAAAGGAGATAAGAGCGGCGATCCCATTGAAAGTCCAAATATTTGCTCATAGATGTCCACGGTCCGACTCTGGGAATTATGATAACTACTATAGCAGAGGACTTCGGACAACGTGCACTTAACTAAGTCACCTTAACAACACGACCAAGTTGCGGAAACGAGGTCAGACCACTTGCATACATTGAAAGGGGACTTTGACCAAAATAGAGACCACAAAATCTTGGTATTCACATCATGTTAATTATATTCATGTTGAATAGGTTTCAAAACTATCAATAAATCAAGACAAATAAATGTGGCTAAATTCCCATTGGGGTTGTTTATCGGACCCAGGCGAGGTCGAATCTACGGTCCACAATGAATGAGAATAACTTTTAGGAGGTAATGCTATATGAAATTCAATAATATTATGAGACTTACTTTTATCATTGTGAGGTCGACTTAACTACAAGTTATATATCACTTTCTGCGACCTAGGGTGAATACAGTTCATAATCAAGTCTACTGGTAGCATCAAACACACCCAATATTAGAATAAAATAAAGTTCTGCTTAAGAAATTAGATATCATTGAAATGTGTTTACTAAGAGGAAATGTAGTCGAGACTAAGCCTATAATTGCTATAATGGAATATAAATTATTTATTGTGCCAAGCGATTTATACGAAAAAGTAGCTAAAGCTGTTGGCGAGATATATTAACATGTGATGAGCTTCGTTATTTACCTTTTTTGATTTCAAATTTTGCCTCTGAGAGAGATGTTCGTTAGACTTAACTTTAAATCCAATACGATTTTTAGCCGAAACTCTGTAATAATTTCTTGACTGTTTCAGAGGGCAAGTGTGAGCTCCATGTGGGATAGAGTTTGAAATACAGGCATCACGGTCTTTATTTCGTGTTTTTAGCCCAACAGCACATCTTGAAACCTTGAATGGAAGTGAAGTGGTCTCAGATTCAGGCTCAGATCTGGGTGTGATTGATGATAAGGATATGGAACTTGAACCATACTCGTAACCTGATTCAGATTTAGAAGGATGCTTTAGGTCCGAGCTAGCATGCGAATTAGCATGATTATTAGTGGTAGAATGTTCGGTGGAACTTATCTTGCCCGAGGGTGCTGAGCCTATAGCAAGATCAGTGAGGCATAGACCGGAGCCAAGAAGACCATAAACATATGATGATCTTGAAGTTGATTTGGCAATTTGGCCAGTCTGAGAAATATGCTCCTGAATTACATCTAGATCTGTAAAAAGAATCAAAAACGTGAAAATAAGGTGACTATTCGTAATTTTAGAAATGAAATTAGTGCACCCGATGATTGTCCAAAAGCAATCGAAACAGATGAACAATTAGGTAAATGAAATAGTAATCGGGACAAAAAGGCAAAGTTTTACCGTAAAAAATAATAATGGTAGTTAGAATAGAAAGTAAATGTCGATATGAGATTAATTAGAAAGACATGGAAAATATATTACAATCAATGCAACTTTACTGGCAATTTTGTTCAATCCAGTGAAAAAAATAAAATAAAAGTAACAAGTGTGAAGACCAAGATAGTATGATCTTTAGTAGTATAAGTAAACCCAGATATATGGAAAAAGTATTTTTCGAAGAATCCCTTAATAGGTTAAGGTTGGAGTACCTTTTACATTTTTGAACAGGCGAGTAGAAGGGTCGTGAGTTGGTCTCACCAGGGGCTGAAAGGGGGTTGTTTCGGAGCTGGACTACACATTTGTGCTAATAGGTCTTCGGCTCATTGTATAGCGACCCCAAAGAATCCTTGCTAAGTTTCCATCCGTCATGTGATGGAGATGGTCAGAGCAGGAGACTATGCGTTACGAGAGACAAATCAGCACGAAAAGAAGAAAGGTCTTACGACGCCTGCCATCAAAGGACAGACGTAAGCATTTTACGGGCTCATTGTGATCGTGGGACGATGCTCTGAAGATCTATTAGCACAGATCTATAGAAACTCCAAGGTATTCCTCATTCAGCTGCCTGAGCTATGCATCATTCTCTAGAGCCCATAGCCGTGCTTCGTGATCTTTTCGTACTCCAGCTACATACCCATCAACACAATAGAGTAATTGAGAGATGCAATAAATATACTAAATGGAAACTTCCCAGTTCTTATTAATACACATCATTCCCAGCAAAGATAAAAAAGCCTAAAAAATGACTTATTTTAATGTACTTGAATGTGCAATTCTGTATATAAGCATATTTAATCGTCAGCAATCATAAGAAAAATGAGCATTAAAAGCATAAACTGTGCCATAAGATGGTGCTATCAATTTATTAATCACATCTCAGTAATCTTTACCTCTGATACAATTTTATCGAACCAAGTTTTATCTGAAAAAGTTTAAATGTGAGTAAAAATAATTACTTGCCTACCTTTCGAGTCTATACTCTTATCTCTGGTGATACGAACAGTCTGCGTAGCTTTTTCGACTCCTCGAAATGCACATAAAGTTCTTAACTCATATTGATGTCGGTGTTCTAGAAAGTTATTTCTGTGCAGTTCATTCAAATGAGCGATGCAGCTTGTTCGCTAAAGAAAACCAAATATTAGAATATAAAGCAGAATATATGCATCTTTGAAAATATATAGAAAAGATAAATGCCCATTCACGCTAATTTATTTTGCTCATAATATCTGGGTAAATAATAAAGCTTAACTAACTTTATGATGATCAAGACTCCATTGTTTCGATCCAATCTTTCCTCCAGATTCAAATCCATTAAACAGACGTTCCGCAAAGCCGTCACACCTTGCGGAATTTGAACCTTGTGCTTCAGTAGCTAATTGTTTTTTCGTTTCTAATTTCACCCTCTTTTTCGATTCAAAATTCTGCCAATCATTTTCATTGTTCCCTGGTTCTACCCTTTCACCAGGGGCAGGCTGGCACTTGTTTTTTCCGTTAGTCACATTGGCCCCTACACTCGGATTAGAAAATGTTGCAGCATAACTTTGGCTTGGATTTGTTCGGCCCCGGGAGCTCTTAGGTCGCTTTATGAAACATTCAGAATCTTTCGAATTCCAAGCTTCACTAGGACCAGGGGCAGGATATGGATTAATAAAAATCTTGAGATCCTGTTCTGTATTTAGTTTCTTAACTGAATTTACAGAATATCCCGTTAGTGTGCTATCTTCTTCATCTTCTTTTATCAATCTTTTGGCTTTCTGATCCTCCTTATACTCCTCCTCTTTCTCATTTTCGTATTTATCAGGAATACAGTCTGAGGTTGTTATTATTCTTTCATTTTGTTGATTTAACTTCTCTTCCGACCGTACGTTTGTCTGATTTACTTGCCTCAACATGGTGGGAGTTACAGTCATGCTAGATGAGGCCGATGCGAACGATCGGGTGGATAAGCCGGCTGTCGACTGAGGAACGCTGTTGAAACTGGTCAGACAGTCCACCCTTGGCCCGAAGGCATCTGTGATAGTGACAGGAGAGTTAGTCGGACTGAGATTCAAGGAACAACAGCACGCCAAATGATTTCCTACTCTTATTTCTTTTTTGTTCTGTGAAGACAACTTCTTTATATTATCGGTGTCCGACACTTGCCTCAAACTATGGCAACTAAGTGAGCAACTGCCACTTCGCTGATTCACATGGCAATGCTGCTGCTGATGTCGACCGCATGGATGTGGGCAGCCCTCATGCAACTGACATCTGCCTGCCATCGATTTTGTATTGTAGCAGGTCTGACACATTGGCATATGATATGTATTTTGCTCGAACTGATTTGTAGAGTTGCAAAGGCATTTTGAAATGTGCACCGGCGCCTCAGAAGGTGAAGATGAAGGGGCGTGTACTGGAACATTTTTGGTAGAGACCCCTGTGGTTGTATCTGCGGATGTACCTATAGAAGTACCCGTGGAAATACCTATAGAGGTACCCGTGGAATATAAGGTTGAGTTTGAGATTGTGCTGGAAGCCAACGATTCGGCTGAAGAGGCAAGAACAGGACTAGTCTCAAATAGTCTGACAAGAGCTGGGGCCAGCTCGGAAGGCAATTGCCAGAGTGGTCTGCCAGACTGGAAAAACGATATCAATTGGTTGAGCCGCCTTATTTTGGCCCGACGGAGGTCTAGCTCCCTATAAAGTAATGAAAACAAAAGCAAAAAAAACTGAATTGCGTAATCTTTGATTGAAGTGATGGATAACTGAAATATAACAAAATATATGAAATAACATGTTTTTATTCCATAAGACCTATTAGGGTCTTGTGTAGCTCACAGAATACACTGATTGAGAGAAGAATATCCTGTACAGACAACTCAACTGATAAATATTCTCCTACTATCAGATGTTTCGCCTACCATTCTTCTACTACTATAAGTAAAGGATTGAGTTACTATATACGACTTAATGTATATGTAACAAAATTTTAGGTACCTATTTGGAGACGTTTACGCTGCCTATCCTAATGGGTGCTAGTAAGACCCAATCTGTGTTGAAATGGCAGATCATATAAAAATACAAAATTTATTGACTGGTTTCTACTGCAAATACCTAAATTTGTTGTGCTTATAGGAGTCCTTACAGCCATTTCCTTGCGCGAAAGTAAAAATATACCCTTAAAATATTTTTCGTCTATAAGTGTGTTTCGGGAAAGTTCAACGACCAGTCTTTCCTCACCTAAAATGAGCTGGGGTAGATAAAGCTCATATATATATATATGAATTACTGGTAGTCTCGAAAACAAACTTATAAACAAAAAATAAGTAAACTAGATTATTTATATAGAAATTGCAACTGTGCTTCATCGACAATCCCACCAAAGAATGTGGTATGGGAAAATGCCTGGCCCTCTTTGAAATCCCCATCTGCCTTGTGACCCAAGGCCACGTGTTGCAGTGTTGCATAGTAGATAACTTGCCGAAATTATACACTCCACTTTCAGGATTTAAGTTCCGCTAGGGTGCGATATCGAAACTACAGTCCAGTCCAGCTTGGATGAGAATACCTTTTGGGAAGCAAGGCTATGTGAAATTTAATGGAAACATAAGGTCTACTCATACGATTGTGGGAAAATTCAATTATCAGTCCTTAATCACCTTAAGCGAAATATGGTAAATACTTCTCATACACCTTTAAAATAGTTCCAAGAAATTTTTAGGTTTATATGGTAAAAATTTGACTAGCAAGATATTCCATGTTCTCTCTTATGAAATACTAATTTACTTTAACAAGTATGGACTAAGCTCCTCACGAATAACTCCTGGAAGTATACAACCGTCTTCCTCTTTCAGTACACTTTTACATTCTTGATCGGATGTTATTCGTATTGCGCGTTCATTTTCTTCTTCTTCTCCCATCATATTTTCACTTGTCTCAATCATTTTATTTTTTTTGTCCTCTCTAGCTTCCTTTCTATTGCTTCCTTTGCTATCATCTCCGTTTTTTGAGTGGTCAAAAACCGTTTTCATTTGAAGGGCAACATCGTAATCATCTTCAGTGCTTTTTCCATGTTCTTTACCCTCCCTTACTTTGTATTTTTTATCCATTGTATAAGCAAAAGAATTGTCCATTACAAAAGTCTGGGGCCTCGCTTTTTTCTGCAAATTCCTCACGGAAAGACCAATGTCCGGAACTGAGAGTATAGAATTTTCTGATTCTGAAGGTAAGATCAGGTCTCCGTTCTGCTTGTTCTCTTTGTTCAGGGCGATAGGTCCAAGGCAGTTTAGAGTCGAGTTAACACGATTAAAGTTGACCTCAGAGCGACCACTACTGACAGAAGCAGTCGGGTTAGTTGTTTCTTTAGATATAGAGCGTCCATCCTTGTGGTACTGTTCAAAAGATAGTCTAGTATCCTGCCAAGTCCTATTATTGACGGACAATCGCTCGGATGGCGGACTAAAGGAGGGTGAACGAGGAGAAGAGTTTATGGCAGTTGTGATGTGATTCCAAGCAAATGACTTGTTGACTGTATTCTCGGATTTTACAGCACCAGAGTCAATGGGGTGGTCGCTATAATTAGTTGAGCCAATGTTGCGGTGAGCGTAGTAATTTGTTTGAAAATCTGTTTGTGGAAAGTCAGTCTGCCAAGCCTCATAAAGATCACGTCGACTGAGTCTAGAAAGAAAATAGAGAATAATTTGCAAACAGATAAGCGACATTAAAAATCATAAGTCCATACAATTTTTCCACAAAATCACTAAGGTAGAGAAGTGGGCTAGCCTCGTTTTCGCAACTTGGTCGTGCTGTCAGGGTGATTTAGTTTTACGCACCTTGTCCGAAGTCCTTTGCTATAGTAGTTATCATAATTCCTAGCGTCAAATCGCAGATTGGTACATTCCCAGACGTTTGGCCCATATCGTAGTCGGCATCATCATTGCGTCTTGCCATTCTCAGCACCATGCTACAACTGGTCAGAGACAAGTTAAGTCATTACCTTGACCAACTATCTGCCGAAAAGATTGTGCTAACATTTATCTTTCTATCCTGGCCCATCTATCTACTCCTCACTCTCTTATCACACTCCGGCCCTATCACAATTTTTGACATATTTATATTCATATTGGAGAGACATTCATTTCGTATCAAAGTGGATGAAGAAGAGATTTGAAGATCGATCTCACCAGAGTATGGTTGAATCCCATCGAAACAACACAACATCGAAGCTTACTAGCCTATCTTATTCTGAAAGTGTCTGCCGATAAATCATTTTCACAAACTGATAAGAATTTTTAACAGAATATAACTAAAAAATTGTCCTTTTTCTCAGTTGTATGCATACAAAACGTGAAATTTTATGCATCACGCTGCCTTTATCATTTGCCATTAATCTTAGAGGACACCCTCCTTGTGAACCTTAAGGAGACCGTTAGCCTTGGGGGCTCTTGCATCTCTCTGGAGTTGTTAATTCATTTTCCGCTTCTCCATTTTACCATTACTTTCGTATACCTTAAGAGCATCCTTTAGCCCAGTCCTAAATCCTTCCGTTGGATCTCTCATTAAAGGTAAATACGGATTATTATCACTTAAATGAACTAACATTTAAAAAAT